AGGCCAAGGGAAGCAGATGGGAAGACAAGGAAGCACCCTAGTCCCCTTTTTGTAGCAGCTAAGAGCCATACATTGTCTGGCTGATATGCTCATGGAATCACAAGCTGAGCTGTGTGCTTTTTGTTCTCTTTACCATATGCTCCTCACCTGTCTGGTCCTCCAGATCAGGTCCTTGTTCTGGCTGTGTTGATCTCTCCCACACTTCCATTTTATCCCACCTACCTCAGCCAACAGATCCCAAATTTTTTCCTTGCCCATCTGTAATATCAACACTGGATTACATACTTTCAGGTAGATTTCATACTTTCCCTAAAGGAATTCCTAGTTTCCTCAGGTATCAAGGGGACTGTGGAAAATAAATACAGCCTCAGATAGCAAATGTGTTTGCTTATACTTGAGATGGGATCCCACTCACTTTATGCGTTTCTCACAAATTTAGTTGCTTAATTCAATCAAATAATCTAAGGTCTCTCCGTGGTAGGTTAAAACAGGTAGCTTACCCTCTAGGAAAAGCCCTTTCTTATACATTGATGCAGTATGTGGTGATCTGACCCCCCGAGAAACCCCTCTGTTCTCTCACAGCAGAGCAAGCACAGATTCCAGCTTGCAATGCAAGATAAGTTTTGTATGGCTTACATGAAATCCTCAGTCATATCGCTTGGTTTCACTTGTGGTGTTATTATATCAAGACGTTAATCCTTTTATTTATTTAATCCTCCTCCTCATTGTACAACTTCTTTTGGATTACAAAATCATGGACTGACATATGCAATCTCTGAGCATTGCAATGAAAACCAGCAAGCACAAGAAACAAAGTTATATTACATGCCTTTAAAACACCAGAGTGACTCTATGGCACAGTAACTTATTAAGTATGACTATTACATTTACCTATCAAGGTAAGAAAGATTAGTGTTCAAAGGAGAAGGAAGCAACTACCAAACTGTGAGTACCATGGTAATGAAAATATCTCATAAAAGCACTTCCTTAGAATGACAAGACTTTGGAGCAGGAAGGAAAAGGACAATACTAGTTCAAAATTAAAATATTGGGAATCTGTTTAGTAAAAAACATTTTAAATATTTTTCGGAACATTCTCTGAAACCAGAAGATAGAGCTTGAAGATTGGTTGCATGCAGCCAGGAACACATTAAATCTCAAGCACTTCATTATCATTCAAAGCACACTTGAAATTTGGACCAAAATGGATTTGCTCAAAGCCTTTTAATCATGTTTTCAATCTCCTTAACTAAGAATAATTTGTACTCTTAGTATAGGATATGCAGCACGCATCCACAAGAAAAGAGCAATCGGTGTATGTTTGCCTTCACATGAGCAATGAATGGGATGCTGGTGCCTCTGCTTCCAGGGAGTTTTGGTGTATGGTTACAGGTAATAAAAAGCAGGTTCTTAAAGTAGTTTGTCGTCCTAGCACTCCACTGATGTCAAATAATTAGCCCCCCCAAATATATTTATTTATATTTCGTATCAAGTGATCTGAAAAATTAGTATGGCAGTTTACTTAAGCAAAGTACACCAAACTTTCCTCTAAGCTATTTCTGTGTAGCCCCATCCATCCCAATGAAGACTTTCGGTGTGGATACGAAAGCAGCTTTGGCCTAAATCATGTATTTAGAAGCTGGCTTCATCTACAAAGGCAAATTCAGGTGCAAAAAAAGTCCAAGGCATGGTTGCATCTTTGGGTCAGAAGCCCTGAGGGGTGCCTCAGCCTGCACTGGGGTGACAAGCCCACTGGCCATGCTGGGGACAAATTGAGTGGTGCCAGAGCACCTTCTAGGAGCTGCTGGCATTTGCACTAAGCTCATGCCCTGAGGTAGATGGTCATGAAAAGCCACTGCCTCTAGAGCTAGTTTAAGGAGGATTAACACATGAGCAAGTAACTATCTGAACTCAGGGCCTCACAGTGGGTCTCAGCGACACAACCACAACTGGTCAGGTGGATCAGGCAACTGAATTTCTGCCAGGTTTGTGATTTTTGGCAGCTTTGGAAGGGTGTGTGCTGCAGCGAGTTTAAAAATATGGTGAATTCTCCTCATTGTCCTATGCTGACTGAATCACCAAGAGGTGCCACCAAAGAAGTGCCATCCAAGGCCACATGCTTCTGCCTCTTCTCTTGCCATGACTGTAGGCTCTGTGGCAGCGTATGGGTATGGGAGTTGGATCATTGACCTGAGCCAACTGAAAACCAGCTCTACAGAGAAGTGCTTCGTTTTCAATTGGACCGGCAGTCTTACCCACACCCTCATCTTTGGGGCCAGCACAAGGAGAGAGGTGAGAACAGGATTGCTTTTTTAGAGGCAGTCACAGGTTTCTTTGGCTTCAGTTTATGTCAAGACCAGGACATCATGGAGTCTGAGCCCTGCAAAACAATGTCTTACCTGGCATAAAGCCTAGCAGTGCAAAGTGAACCTCCTGGCATTTTTAAACACATTCAGGCTGAACTGATCTCAGCTCAGGACACTTTGTGCTGTGACTGTGATATTTTTTATCTGGTGCTAAAAGCCTGTTCCAATGTATTGTCAAATCACAGCCTCCATAAACTGAACATGGCAGCAGTACAAGCTAGAGGTGTTAGACAGAAGGAAAGTGCACATCAAGCTGCCAGTATACATAAGTTCAGCTAATAGTTTGCACACCACATACATATGTATTTGAGGCATATAGGATGCAGTCACTTGAGTAACAACAGTTTTTTTATTGCTGTAAAGTATTAATTGTGTGACTCTAAAATATCCCCTTCCTGACAGTAAGATCAATTTACTTCTAGTTCAACCCAGGATTCAAGCTGACAGCTGCACCATTGTAACTCTCTGAGCAATTGTTCGTTAAAGACATGCTCAGAAGCAATGTAAATGGCCAATGATCAGTACGTATGATGACAGAGTCCCCTGCTGAGCTTCTGGTAGCAAAGTACTTCGATGCCTGTGGAGACTATTAACCACTCACCCTCTGAATGCCTGGGCTCTGTAAACTGGGCTCAGTCCCATTCTTAATCCAAGATCCACAAATGGTTACTTTCTTCCTCTAAATGTGGATTATTTTCCATGATGAATGATTATTCTCAGTTGAATGGATTTGTTCAGTTTGGAGGCACAGGCTGGAGCTTGCCTGGAGGGAGGGGAGGCAGCATCTGAGGAGTCCTGAGTCTTCCTCAGCCAGAGCGGGCCAGCACTGGGTCACCTCGCTCTTTGCAGCCATGCTCACAGGACTGGTCCTTTTAGAAGTGGTTCGGAGATAAGGAAAAACCATCCTTTTAGCTACTGGAGACATTCACATTTGCATTTTGCTCTATTGCGGTGATTGTGCACAGCAAACAAGAAAAACAGTTTAGAAGTCATAAGGAAATGTATCAGTCATGAGACAAAAATGAGGTAATGTTTCCCAGTCTCATTTTTTACTCCTACAGGGTGAAGGGAGGAGAATTATAGGATAAAATTGTAGCTTTTGAACATGTACATTTAAAGATAGATAAAGATATATCAATTTGTAGAATAACTTTGCTCTTCATCCCATTCTTTATCATAATATCTGTAACAAAAACATCAAATTGGGTTGCATGTGTATGTGTCTTTCTAGATATCTAGAAGAACATACATCCCTTAGGCAGTGACATTGCAGGCTTTCTATGTAACAAGCTATCTGATCAGAAGACAAGAGAATTATATACTCTTATAACTTCAAACTCAAAAACGCACCTAAAACTAGCATGTATATATAAGTGATTTTAGTGGAGTTCTCTGTCTGTGCCCCTAGACACAATTAAAACTCTTCTCAATCCACATCTATCCTTTCTGCAAGCAATGAAATTATAACCTATACAGCCAAGAATGTATCCTGTAGTTACAGGAGTTGCTGTTTCATTGAAGTATAATTTCAGGTACCCAGAAAGAAGGAATGAAGCAAAGGTAAAAAGAAGTTCCTTAAACTAATCTGTCAATAGGCAACAACAGTTTTATGTCAAGAAGAAAGGCAAATAGTAAAAAAAAAAAACACAATCAAAAGAAGCAGCTGTAGCTCACCAAAATCAGTGCCAGTGCTTTCCAGTTCATGCTCACACACAGTTGACCAAGTCATCTCCTGACTTACACGAGGCTGTGCCACCATACTACCCCACTATCACGTATCACTGCATTTTCTACCTTGTTTATTAATATCTTTCAAACTTTCTTTAATGTAGGTACTAGGGAATACCATATATACTGGAATGAAATTATTTACAAGAGAAAAACTCTTTTTACAGTGGGGTTTTTTTCCTAATTTTTTAATTATTTCTTGTTCACTTCATTTCAGCTATCCTGGCTATCCCCAAAGATTGTTTTTTTCTTTATTTAAAACAGATTTATGCAATATATGAAAGTTTATGTCATTTAAAACAGATTTATGCAATATATGAAAGTTCTTATAATAATCGAGTTTTATTCATAATCACTTTTTTCCTGTCTCAGTAAACTTCAATTGACATTTCAGAGTACACATTAAATAATGAAGATCTAATTAAATATTGAGGATTTGAGGAATAGGGATAAGTCTAATTTTTTTTTTCATTATTTTTGGCTTTTGGAAATTCTTTTAGCGTGTCTGTTAAAGCAGATAATCTAAATAGGTTTCAGGTTCAATTACTCTACAGACTATACTGGTCTAAAGGGGGAGATCTAATGTGGTTGGAAAAAAAGACTTTAGACCCCTTTTTTCCATTTGAATCAATACCTCCCAGCTTGAGAAGTTGCAGTCTAAGGTCTACAACAATTGGCTTACTCGGATGTTACCTGTAAAGAGTCACTTGACTAAATCAGGAAGAATCTGGAGCCAAGGTTTTTTCTGTCCTTCTTGCTGTAGAAAACCTTTCTGAATCAAACACTGATCAGGAATTCCCAGCTGAAGAGTCTGTCCATAGTTTTGTTTTGGTCCTAGAGATGTAGGAATGTTCCTTCCAAGATTAGTACTAACCTTCTGCCCCTCTTCTCTCTGTATTCCCCCAGGTTACCAAGATGTTGGCCGTGGTGGTGGTCCTGTTTGCGTTTCTATGGATGCCCTACCGCACGCTTGTCGTGGTCAATTCTTTTCTCTCCAGCCCCTTCCAAGAAAACTGGTTCCTGCTATTTTGCAGAATCTGTATTTATTTAAATAGTGCCATCAACCCTGTAATTTACAATCTCATGTCCCAGAAATTCAGAGCAGCCTTCAGGAAACTCTGCAACTGCCAGCAGAAACGGGAGAAGAAACCAGCCAATTACAGCGTGGCCCTAAATTATAATGTCATCAAAGAGTCTGATCACTTCAGCACCGAGCTAGAAGATATTACTGTCACCAATACCTACCTGTCCTCTGCAAAATTGTCCCTTGGTGATAAGTGTTTGTCATCTGAGGTAACAGTTAATCTATTTTAATGTTTGGTGTAGAGTCCTCATGAACCAGAGCATGTTCATGTGCACGGGGCTGTGCTGGGGCAACACAGCACACGGCCAGGGAAGGCTGTTGGTGACAGATGATGCACCACCAAACAGGGCATGGCAGGGAGGGAGAACTGCCTGGCTCTCAAAAATTATATTCTCAAAGTGCCTTGTGCCGAACATGACATGCCTGGGAGGATCTGGGCTATGGGGAAGGATGAGGAGAAATGCGTAGGTTAAACCTTACTCTCTGAGGAGCAGAGGGCAATGGTGAAGCATCAGAGAGTGGCACTCGGGCATGGTGCCTCACGTACATGTCTGGCAGGAGGGTGGGCATTGGTGTCTGAGCCCAGTGATTCCTCCTGGGCATGCTCTGCCTGCCTGCAGGAGGACAATGGAACATTTGCTTGTGCCTCATCCTGGCTCCAGCCTGGGGTTGACTAGCCTGGTGCCACCATGCAGCTGGTGAGAAGAGAGGACACCGATCTCCCCCACACCAGCACTCTGCTCCCAAGAGTGCTGAAAGCAACATCCATTTCCAAGCTACCTGCACCATCCCCATGTGTAGCACATCTTTCTAGCCCAGCTCTCTTCTACATGATGATGCATGTTACTGCTCTCACGATGCTTTTTTCCACAGTGCTACTTAAATGCTGTTTGTAAACCTGTATACCTTAGATCTTACAATATAGATGATCCAGAGAGGATTAGTTTTTCATTTCTTTTTGCAAATGATATGAGAATGAAAAATATTTCTTTCTCAGTTTGCTGCTTCTCTCCTCATTTTCAGGCCTGAGGCCCACCTTGTCCTGAGTACGCACTGATATAAAACCTTTGGATGCTCTGTTCTCACCAACCTGTATGAAATGTAAAGGCATTTCTGCTCACAGAAATACAGGAGTTACCACAGATCTCTACACACCTGGCTGCATCCTACAAGAAAAACAGCCTCTTGGAGAGTGAAAAGAATATACTACTGAGTCTAACTGAACGAAGCACTTAGTATAACTTTAAGCAGGTGAGTTGGCTTCGGTGGAATACCCAAACCCTTCTTCTCATGTATTGGCCAAAGAGTGGTCTGTGTTCTCAGAAAGAGCACGGCTGCCCAGGACATCTCCAGGGATGCAGAGCGGGGCAGTGGATGATGCTCCCGGTGAAGGTGAGAGGCGAGGAGAGGAGCTGCCCTCCTGTGTGGCTGCACTGGGCAGTACCAGCAGGGCCTGTCCCACAGCAGCCAGAACTGCTGCCGATTACAGTAATTACCTGCCATTGACTCCCTCAACCCACAGCAGTGCAAATGTAATTGCAGGCATCATAACACACTTCAATAAGCAGATATCCAATGGCAAAGAGCACAAAACCTTTTTTTTTCTTTGCTTTTTTTTTTTTGTATCTTGAACAGCATGAAATAGGAAGACCACTCAATGAATTCACAGCAGGGAATAAGCAAAATAAAAAGTCAGTAGGAAGCTTTAAAAATATCTTATTTTTTTCAACAAGTTAGTTTATAGATGTACCACTGTAAAGGTCAGTCTCAGCTAATACTGAATCCTGTCAGAACTTGACAGGTATTGCAGAGTATTGGACAGGCTTTTACTAGTTAATTTTATCTTGGTTCGATAGCAATTGTGTCTCAGACTGCTACAGGGGGTTTATAGCTTCAATATAGATAATGCCTAGGGAAAAGAGGAAAATTCAGTGAAAAATGACACTTTCTTCATTTTTCATCTCAAAGGTTACCCATTAGAATATTTCAGGACATAAAAAGTATTGTCAGAAGAGAAGTCACCATGGCTTCTCACTTGCCAGCATAGCCACTGGCATGCTCTTCCCACACAGGCCAGTGACAAGCAGCCTGAGGCCACGATCTCCCCGATGGAGCGGCAGTCAAAACATAGCGTATCACTTTGGCTTCGCTCTAGATCAGCTCATGTTCTTGCTAGAACTATATTTTCCCATTCCTGGGCAGCAGTAACAGCAGCTCAGGAAGATGCCTGCGTATTCTTGCTTGTTGTGAATGTTTTGCACAGCTTTTGTACATGACATTTAAACAGGTGTAAAAAACCTAACTGTTCTAATGAAAAACATATCCAGTGGGGGATGAAAGGGCCAATCTCACTAGCATTGCAAGGCTATCCTATCCAGTTTTCCTTTGCACACACAGCCGCTTCCCCAATTCAAACCACTTTCCCTTACTTTCAGCCATATTTGCAAACTTACAGAGAACTAAATATACCCCCGTGAGCCTCAGATTTAAATTTCGATGTGAACCCGTGTCTGCTGCATCCAAAAGCCTCTATTCCACGTGCCCTCGATGGCAAGGAGGAAGCGAACAGTCTGTATCCTGCTCTGTCCGCATCCTTGCTTTAACTCCTGTTTTAACCTTGCAGAGCTCCGCAGGTTCTTTCTAGCTTGGCAGAATGATGGTGGGTCACGGAAGGGACCAAGAGCAGGAGTTTTTTAACCAGCAGTACAGACATGACAAACTTCCTCCAGAAAGCCCTTTTTATCTTTTATTTCCATCAGCTCCTGCCTTTTCATTTTGGCACGCAGAGGGAGTGAGACCACGGGGGTATCTTGCTTCTTGAGACTTTTATTTCAAATTATGGGGAGTCAGTTTTAAAGCCAGGCAGAACACCATACCCGTGGGCCTTCGTCAGGGGCAGGCTGTACACTGGAGCCTGTCCCGTGAAGCACAGGAGCTGGCAGAGCTTTGGCTGGAGCAGATCCAGCAGCTGAACCCATGCACGTTGTGTTGCAATGTTTTCTAAATCCTCTGCATTGGGGCTCTCCCTTATTTACTGGGGTGCTGAGGCTCGCCAGCCTGCCTGCCTGCGCAGCACAGGCCGCCAGACACATGCAGTGTGGTCTGTGTCTGTGCAGATGCTCCATCACCATGGCATCTGAACCCACCCACACAACTGGAAGGGGGATGTTCAGCCCCTTTGCTGCTTTTAAAATAAAAAGGAAAAAACAAAATGACAGAGTAAGTCACATGGCAGCCAAGCAGGCAAAGCTGACCAGGGTTAATGAGTCGAAAGAGAATACCAATGTTATTCTAGAGTTAATACCTAACAATCATATCTCATAAATACAATACTATAGCAGTGACATACACTTTGAACAAACCTTTCCTTTGTAGAGATTGACATGAAATTACAGAGTACTATGCCATTTTGCCGCTCACGCTGGCTTAAGGCTATGGTTTGCCACCAGAAGGGGAAGTCAGGGAGAGGTACCACAACCTGCGTAACATTTCCTCCAAAGCAACTGTCACAGTAAAATGAAATTATCTGGGAAATCTTACACAGGAATTTATATTTACTTAGCCAAGAGACACATTCAAAGTAAAAGCCTGAGCAAAGCCTTCATGTGCAGTCAGCCAGCACCGCTCGCACCTGGTCAAAGCGGATCCCCAGGTCGATACGGGAGGGAGAGGGTGTGGAGGCAGCTGTAGGTGGAGCTGGCAGGTGGAAATCCTTTTGCTCCTCAAATGTTATCCACTAGGCATCTATCCACTGCTTGCAGACCAGGCCCTACCTCCTAAAGAGGTGCCAGAACTAGGTCCTTTTCTTAAAAAGCCAGCAGCCCTTCAGGACAAGTGGCAGGCAATGAGAATGTTTGCCGCAGAAACGCAGCTATGCTGTTGGGAGCACAACTGGCCAGGATAAGAACTGAGCTACATATTCCTGTAGTAACAGTAACACAAGCTTACGCTTTTATCTTGACCCTTTTCAGAGTACAGGCTGAACTACTAGTCTTATAGACTGATAATATCAGAAGTAAATTCTCTCCTTTATTTGCCTTTTTGCTCAAAAAGTAATTTTCTGCTTTCTCAGCTTCTGTCTCCATAGCTCTTTTTTTTTCAGATGCTCAGGCGAGGTATTTAAGCCCATATTCTTAGTGTGGTTTCATCAAGGGCTAAAATCTATGTAGGTGATTTTTTATGCATCACTTGGAATAACAATTGAAAAGGTATTATTTCATGCTGATATTTATTTGTGCAAACAGAAATGATTATGCATGCAATATTGAGTGCACAAATGCAATATCTAAAATTGCAGGTTTAAGTTAAGGTGTGGTTTTAACTCATAGCATGCTGTGACTATATCTTTATAGATGTTATTCGTTACGTCCATATTAAATGTATACTGATTCTTACAGCTAACACTATGAAACTTTGCTGGATACCTTGCTAATGTGACTTTAGATCTATTGCTGTGTTTGCCCTCCTGTTTATAACAGTAACCAACCTTTTTTCTTGTACCTAGATGTTGTAGACTAGATATGTGGGCATGTATTTATTTAAAAATTTGTGTGATTTTAAGTTTATTGGTAATACAGCAAAATTTTTTGCTAGAAGTGAAAGTGACTGGATGTCAACTGCTGACTGCAGTGATATAACTATTATCTCTATATACTTGCTTTGTGGATAACAAATTCCTTTGCAACCTTTAGTTTGAAAGAACTGTCTGATTGGTAGCAATATTGAAATCCATGTCTATATCCACCTCATTCAATGGCTTTGATGGAAGAGACTGCATTCTTACTGCATTTTTATTTGGAACTTTACCCAGCATGTAGCAGACAAGATGCCGCTGTAGCATCTGGCTTTTGGAACTACACTGCTTCCTGTGCTAAATACTGAGATACTGGAAGCTTCGGTGTTGGTAAATTGTGCAGCTGAGAAAAGTTAGGTGTTTTTAAAACCCATTTCAGTTCCAATTAGTGCATGACCTCTTTGAGGTCAGAATTAAGGATATATCAAAACAGCTCCACTATATTGTCAAGGGGTTTATGATGCTCCTGTGGAAATGAATGGCGCAACTCAAACGATGGAGCTCTCCCTAGCTTCCCTTCAAAAACAATTACCCGATCCAACCGACTGAAGGACTGGTCCTCCCTCAGGAGCTGCTGACGCAGCTCCCCTGCTACACAGTGAATACTCAGACCAGTCACTTGGCCTGGAAGTAGACAAATATTTCTTGGTTATTTTT